CCTGGGCCTGTGGGGAGGCACTGAGGGGCGTGGGCAGGGGGGCCAACAGGGGCCCCAGGAGAGCCTGTTTGTCCGAGTGAATAGTGGGGGCATGAGGCAGGGAGCCCAGGGCGGCAGCTATTAGGGATGGGACTCCAGCTGGACTGATCCTGCAGGGGGTCTGTCTGTCCAGCTGTCCAAGGGTGCCAATCCCCCCAACTCTGAAGGAGGTGTCTGTGTGTCCTGCAGGCCCGACGGATCAGGATGCCAACCTGGATTGGACCCTCCCCCATGGAGCAGCACCCTGGACCCAGATTCTGGAGCGACTCAGCCCGAAAGGTGAGTGGGGGGCCAGTTGGGTGAGTGGCTCTGGGGGCACAGACTAGACGGGACCGCCCCTTCAGCTCCAGGGGCGACCCAGCACAGCTGTCCCACCCCCCGCCTGGACCCGTTGCTAAAGAGCCCAGCCAACGTTATGTAACTGGTCTCGCGGTGGGGTGGCTGCCTGGTCTAACGCAACCTTTATCAGCATGGCCCAGCATATCCGCCCCTGGCAGCGCCCGGCCCAGCTTCCTCTGCAACCGGCCGGGGAGCCTGCAGGGCTGGTATCCCTGACACCCAGCGCTTCCCCTCCGCAACCAGAGCCCCTACCCCGAACCGCGGCTCCAGTAGCCCCCGCCACTGAGAGCTGTGGGGACCTCCCTGAGGTTATGAAGCAGGACTGGAAATAGAACCCAGGAGTCCTGGTTCCCCTCCCCGCCCTGCCTCCCCACAACCACTGGACCCCTTCCCGGAGCCAGGGATAGAACCCAGGAGCCCTGGCTCCCCGCCCCCACTGTAACCACTACACCCGCCCTCCCCTTCCAGAGCCAGGGATAGAACCCAGGAGCCCTGGCTCTCAGCCTCCTGCCACTCTAACCACTAGATACCACTGCCCCAGGGACTCAGCTCCTCTGTGCCAGGGGATTGTGCAAGCAAAGAGCACCCCCTGCTGTCAAGAGGCAGCCGGGCTCCCAGGGCCACCCTCCAGCCATCTCGGTTTGGGGCTGATCCATGCAGTGGAGGGGGGCAGTGATGGGTTTTCCCTGCTGGGGTTTGAGGTTTGCACCCCCACGACATGGGATTAACTGCTCTCATCCACAGCCCATGTGCATGGGGGAAAAAACAGGGACAGTTCAACCAGCAGAGACTGTCAATGGGGTAGGAAGGGGCTGTGGGTCGGGATTGAGAGGCACCCGCAGAGCTGGGGGGCTGGGAGCCCAGGACTGGGTTGAGTTGATGCCAGGGTCTGTGTGGGTCCAAGCACCGGCTGCAGAGCCGGATGCCAAGTCCCACAGAGTGCGGGGGACAGGACGGGACTGGTCCTATCTCAGTATGTAGGGGAGGGGGGCTCCATCACTCAACAAGGGGTGGCTGGGCCTCTGATGCCCACTTTGCTCCCCTGCTAGTTTCTGGTTTTGGGGACACATGCGCACCAGGCTGAGCCCCCACAAACTCATCTCACCCAGAGCTCTGAGACAGGAGCACCTTCCTTTGATGGCCTCATCACACCTCCATCTGCCATGTTTGGTCCCCAAGCCCACCCCATGCTGTCCCTGTTGTGACCCCCCCATGCCAGCCCTGGCCCCCATGCTATCTCTGCTATGCTCCCCACATAATGCTAGCCCTTGCTGCACCTTCATGCAGCCCTGCCACACACCCAACCCCATGCCATCCCTATCCCCCCATGCCAGCCCTGCCGTGCCTCTGCTGTGGTTCAGTCTTTAATGATAGGGTTGTGGGGTGTTTCCCAGAAGGGCTCTGGCCTTGTGTCCAGCCTCTTCCAGTGCCATGGGCCCCGATGGCAGGACAGTAGGGGGAGGGGCGTGAGACCCATGATCCCACCCTAAGCAGGGCCCACAGGCACTCCCAGGCCTGGGGAGTGTTACCTGTCAGCTCCGTGCTCTTGGGGAACCAGGGTGCAGTACCCAGCCTGACACGCGAAAGACCCTTCCCTCTACCCCCCAGCCTGAACCAAAACCGATAAGGCGGTGGGAGAAACCTAAACCCCTCCGACAAGGGTGACAGAATTAAGGCAACTCCCCAGCCTCATTTGCATCGAAGATGGGCCAGGGAGGCACCTCTATTAGCTCACAGAATGGAGAACAGAGATTCCAAGGCAAGAACCGCACAGAACGCTGGGACCAGAAAAGCAGGGAAGCAGTGCATCATGGGGGATCTGTGCTCCAGATATTAATGAACCCACGCCTGCACACACCCAGCTCACTCGTTATCAGACCAATTCTAGTAATAAATCCTTTATTGGTATGTAAAATACAGAAGCTGCCTAATTGCATTGTGAGCTCCCTGGAAAGGACACTGCCCATAGCCAGGAATGATCAGCTCCCATTGTCTAGCCTGAACAAAACAACTTTGGTATCCTCCCTGGAGCCATCAGTTTACACAAACAAATGTAGTGTTCTCCCTTGAACCAGTTGTTTCTTGACAAAAACCCCCTACCTAAGCTTCACAGAGTGGTGAGAACCCAGCTCTCTCTCTTTCTCTGTATAGCCTTCTGACCCTGACTTGTGTGATCAATTATAGTTTTCTAAACCTGACTTTTATAATCAAATTTAAATTTAGATTTAATATTATAACTGCTTTGTTTGTTTGGCTCCCCTATGGTTATTACCTGGCAATAAATAATTTTCATGATTAAGCTGGTTGCTTCTCTCTCTCTCCCCCTCGTGGGTGTTTTTTGGTTTCCTCATTCGCTCTGCAGCGACGCTCCTCATACCTAAGCTAAAAGATCCCTGCAGCGCCCAAAAAGAACAATTGTAACGTGAAAGTGGGGATAGAGACGTGCTGAACCTGGGACATAGAATCATAGAACGGGAAGGGATCTTGAGAGGTCATCTAGTCCTGCCCCCTGCACTCAAGGCAGGGTTAAGTATTATCTAGACCAGGGGTAGGCAACCAAAGGCGACACGCAAGCTGAATTTCAGTGGCACTCACACTGCTTGGGTCCTGGCCACCAGTCCAGGGGGGCTCTGCATTTTAATTTAATTTTAAATGAAGCTTCTTAAACATTTTAAAAGCCTTATTTACTTTACATACAATAGTTTAGTTATATATTATAGACTTATAGAAAGAGATCTTCTAAAAACGTTGAAATGTATTACTGGCATGCGAAACCTTAAATCAGAGTGAATAAATGAAGACTTGACACACCACTTCTGAAAGGTTGCCGACCCCTAATCTAGACCATCTCTGACAGGTGTTTGTCCAACCTGCTCTTAAAAATCCCCAATGATGGAGATTCCACAACCTCCCTAGGCAATTTATTCCAGTACTTAACCACTCTGACAATTAGGAAGTTTTTCCTAATGTCCAACCTAAACCGCCCTTGCTGCAATTTGAGCCCATTGCTTCTTGTTCTATCCTCAGAGGTTAAGAAGACCAATTTTTCTCCCTCCTCCTTGAAACTACTTTTTATGTACTTGAAAACTGTTATCATGTCCCCTCTCAGTCTTCTCTTCTCCAGCCTAAACAAACCCAATTTTTTCAATCTTCCCTCATAGGTCATGTTTTCTAGACCTTTACACATTTTTGATGCTCTTCTCTGTACTTTCTCCAATTTGTCCACATCTTTCCTGAAATGTGGCACCCAGAACGGGATACAATACTCCAGTTGAGGCCTAATCAGCGCAGAGTAGAGCGGAAGAATTACTTCTCGTGTCTTGTTTACAACACTCCTGCTAATACATCCCAGAATGATATTTGCTTTTTTTGCAACAGTGTTACACTGTTGATTCATATTTAGCTTGTAACCAAGCATGACCCCCAGATCCCTTTCCTCACTACTCCTTCCTAGGCAGTCATTTCCCATTTTGTATGTGTGCAACTGATTGTTCCTTCCTAAATGGAGTACTTTGCATTTGTCCTTATTGAATTTCATCCTATTTACTTCCGATGACTTCTCCAGTTCGTCCAGATCATTTTGAATTTTAATCCTACCCTTCAAAGCACTTGCAACCCCTCCCAGCTTGGTATTGTCCGCAAACTTTATAAGCCATTATCTAAATCACTAATGAAGATATTGAACAGAACCAGCCCCAGAACCGATCCCTGCAGGACCTCACTCGTTATGCCCTTCCAGCATGGCTGTGAACCACTGATAGCTACTTTCTGGGAACAATTTTCCAACCAGTTATGCACCCACCTTATAGCAGGTCCTTCTAGGTTGTATTTCCCTAGTTTGTTTATGAGAAGGTCACATGAGACAGTATCAAAAGCCATACTAAATTCAAGATATACCACATCTACCACTTCCCCCCATCCACAACGCTTGTTACCCTGTCAAAGAAAGTTATCAGGCTGGTTTGACATGATTTGTTCTTGACAAATTCATGCTGACTGTTAATCACCTCATTATCTTCTAGGTGCTTGCAAACTGATTGCTTAATTATTTGCTCCATGATCTTTCTGGGTACCGAAGTTAAGCTGACTGGTCTGTAATTCCCCAAGTTGTCCTTATTTCCCTTTTTATAGATGGGCCTTATATTTGCCCTTTTCCAGTCTTCTGGAATGTCTCCCATCTTCCACGACTTTTCAAAGATAATTGCTAATGGCTCAGATATCTCCCCAGTCAGCTCCTTGAGTATTCTAGGATGCATTTCATCAGGCCCGGTGATTTGAAGACATCTAACTTGTCTAAGTAATTTTTGACTTGTTCTTTCCCTATTTTAGACACTGCCAGTGAAAATGAGATAGGATCAGCATCTATGTTAGACATCCAATCGCAAACAACCTTCTTGGTGAAAACCAAAACAAAGAAGTCATTAAGCACCTCTGCCATTTCCACATTTTTGGTTATTGTCTTTCCCCCCTCATTGAGTAATGGGCCTCCTCTGTCCTTGGTCTTCCTCTAGCTAGTTTGATCTCGTTTTGTCCCTACATACTTGTGTTATTTGTTTATATTCATCCTTTGTAATTTGACTGAGTTTCCACTTTTTTGAGTTTGAGATCATTGAAGATCTCTTGGTTAAGCCAGGGTGGTCTCCTGCCATACTTCCTATCTTTCCTACGCAGTGGGATAGTTTGCTCTTGTGCCCTTAATAATGTCTCTTTGAAAACCTGCCAAAAAACCTGTTATATGAGGGTGGCAGACTGAAAGTGCTGCTCGACCCAGCCTGCTCAGGCGTACTCTATCCCGGTGCGGTGCCCGTGGCATATGAGGGTGACAGCTTGGAGGTGCTGCTTGACCCAGCCTGTTGAGTCCAAGGACATATAAGGGGTCAGCTTGGGAGTGCTGATTGACCCGGTCCTCTCAGATGTTCTCTGTTAATGTGTGTGTGTGTTCATAAGATTCTGGGGCTGGAAGAACCGAGGTCCTGCAGGACAGCTCCATGGGGAGGGAATTTACAGCAGGGAGAAGTAGAGCTCTGTATGAGAACACAAGTGACACAAGCAGTACATTGATAGAAGTACAGAACCCCACCCCCTGAAGAGTAACCCTAATAAATGAGCCTACCTCAAAGCTGGTAACAGGGGGGCGGAGCTGCCACCTGAGGGGCCCCGCCACCCGCAGGGCTCAGTCTCTGGGGCTGTTCACGCCCCATGCCCCCAAGGCTGCCAGCTGGGGGTGGGGACCTGGTTAGCGCCAATTGCAGGGTGGTTTGGGGGCTGTGGGCAGTCTCTCTGTGGGCAAGCCAGGCTCCAGACCCCGGCAGCTCCAGTCGCCCAACCTGGGGCAGCTGCTGTCAAACCTCCAGCTCCCCACTTCCTCCTCTGGGCCCCCCATCGCCCTCACCCAGGACCCCCTGTGCCCCTCTGGCAACCCCCCTGACTGATGCTCAGGAGATGAAGGCAGTGCTAGGAAAGGGGCTCCTCCCAACTGTGCTGTCCCTCCTGCCCCCAATGATGTAGCCCTGAACCCTTCCCTCCCATCGACACACCAGGACCAGGGGCGCCAGCTCCTGTCGCTCAGGGGGCAGGGGGATGATCTGGGCCCTGGGGAGGGGTGGGCTTTTCTGCAGGGCTTAGACAGGAAGCAGCAACACCCCAGCTGCCTGGGCCTGGGGGTAGGGGGACAACTTGGCCCTGGGCCCATCCCCCTGATAGGAGAAGGACCCCAGAGATGTGCCCGCAAGCGGCGCTTACTTCCCACCAGGAATCTAGCAGAGGCATGGCTGATGCCCCAGCTTGTGGGGGAAGCTGGCTGGGAGGGGGCTGGGCCAGCTTCACAGGAGGTACCAGATTGACACCAGCCCACGGATTGGACCTTCTCAGCCCAGCAGTGACGTGGAGCAGTGGGCGGCTGACGCCTGGAGTCTGTGACAGATCCCCCCCATCATCACACAACCCCTCCGTTCCAGACTGTGGGCAGTGCAGTGCCAGGAGCCCCATGCTGGCCTCGGGGTAAATCCCCTGTTTCTCTGGAGCTGGCAAGAAAGGAGCTGGCTGGCAAGGACCCTGGTGGCCATGGGGCACAGGAATTTGGGGAGTTGGCAGGGCCTGGGGGGGTGGTGCAGGACAGGAGTGACCCTGGACAATGGCTCCTCAGAGACCTTCTCCCCCTCCCTGGCGCGGGGGGAGCAGGCCGAGCCTTTCTGGACAGCAGGATCTGACGGCAGGTCTGTCAGGCCCATGGCTCCAATTGCCAGCTGAGAAGGGGAGGACAGTGTGATTGACCCCGCACAGCCCTGACTCCTCCCTCCAACCTGGAGCGCCGGGGCCCAGACACCGAGCTCTATTCCAGTCAGTGCCGGGGGTGGGGGTGGGTATTCAGGCTCTTCCGCACACTCCCACCCCTGAGAGCAAGCTGCTCTCTTCACTTGTGACTAAAGGTTGCCGACAGTCCCTTATTACAATGATTCAGTTGGGGTTGGTCCTGCTTTGAGCAGGGGGTTGGACTAGATGACTTCCTGAGGTCCCTTCCAACCCAGATATTCTATGATACAAGGGACATCCCTTATTTTTTTCCCCCATCTCTGTACAGCAAGCCTGGGAGTCGCTGAGTGCTGCTAAAAGCAGCCAGAAATCCCCCTGGCGAATGTAGGTGAATCCTTAGTAGTATTAATAATAATGATGATCTCAGGAGGAGGGGTGGGGCTAAGAAATCAGTCCCTTATTTTTGAAATACAAAGTTGGCAAGCTGACCTCTGACTCCCAGCGCTCCCCCATCACGAGTCCACGGCCACGGGCTCAGAGAGCAGCTTGTAGCGGATCAGAAAGTAGGGGTAGCACTGGCAGCTGTCAAAGATGACGAAGATCTGCGGCTTCTTAGCACGGTCCGTGCAGGAGTCGTAGAGGCGGCCGTCGTGTGCCGGGGGGGGGCGCCGGAACATGGGATTGCCCCGCACCGAGCTCCCCACAAGCACCTTGACCAGGAACATGTGGCACAGGCTGGCCTCGTCCACCTTGGCGTAAGTGTGGGAGTAGGAGGCGTCAGTGGCGAAGTAGCTGCCCTGCCCGTAAGCCTCGCCGTTCTCCCCTGACACCCGGGGGTCAAAGTTCATCTCGCAGATGGGCTGCACTTTGCTGGCCCTGGTGCCGTGGAAGAGGTGTCTCTCCAGGCAGCACCGCGCCACACGGGGACGGCTTTGGGCCATGAACTGCTTCTGCCTGGAGGGTGGACAGATGGGGGGGGTGTCACTGACAAGCTCGAGCCCCATCCACCCACTTCCTTGGTGCATTGCCCCAGGCTTGGGTATGATGGGTCAGGCACCAAGAGCAGCCAGGAGTCACCCCAATAAGAAGCCGGGATCGCCAGCTGGCTAGGGACGGGCAGGATGCCCCGGATGGGTTCGTGGCTCCAGCCCAGCCTCATCCATGGCCCAGAGCATGGGGACCAAGACCACAGAACACCAGCTTCTGGGCGAGTCCCATTCCTGGCCCAGGAGGAACCACGCCCCAGAATCCATGCACCAGAGTTACAATTCCAGCTGCCAGCCCCGCCCTGTGGCAGCAGCCAGATGCAAGGGCACTGAGGGAAAGCCCAGAACCCACTAGCAGCCCCCCATGCCCAGCCTTGCCCTATGCCTGCCCTCCTTACCCACAGTATTTCTGCCACAGGTAGTCATTCCGGACCCGGTAGACGGCCAGCACCAATGCCTTGTCCTCTGCCAGGGTTTTGTGGAACAGCGTGCATGTAGTCTCATAGGCCCTCTCTGCTGGTGCCACTTCTGCCAGCGTGAACATGGTGCCCACTGAGGCCTTGGGGACCCAGGACGCAGGGTACGGGCCCCAATAGGTGTCCTGGGGGTCCTCTCCAGGGACGGTGCCGGGGGAAGAGAGGGTGGCACCCGGTCCTGTCCTGCCAAGAGAAGACAAACAAGGGCATGGCTAGTGGCGAGAGCCTCTTGGGTGCCCAGGGGCAGGGATGGCAGTTGGCCAGAGCACTCACCGCAGGTGGGGCGCCAGGCGCCAGGGCGGGCGGAAGATTGGGCAGTGCAGGATGCGCCGGGTGAAGCCCGTACGCACATTGCGCTGGGTCAGTTTCTTCAGGTCCACGTTGTACAGTTGGCCACGCAGCTTGAAGGCGTGGTTCCACATGCCCTTCTCGAAGGCCGCCAGCAGCTCCCACCGCACCGGCTGGGCACAGAGACACGCCATCACAGGGCACCCCTCAGCCACGCTCCTCCCAGCCACGCACCCGTTCCCCCACGATGCTCCCCCAGCCATGCAGCGCCACCACCTTCCTCAGCTACACCACTCTTCCAGCCACACAGCCCCACACAGCCAGGCCACCCCTCCAGCCAGGCACCCCCTCCTCCTTCCCAGCCACACACAGCCCCTCCCCCCTTCCCAGCCAGGCTGCTCCCCAGCCACACAGCCCCTCCCAGTCACACAAACACCCCTCCCCAGCTACCCCAGCCACCCCTTCCCCTCCTCAGCTATATCACCTCCTGCAGGCAGCCCCTCTCCCTGCACAGCCTCCCCCCCAGCCCGACAGCCCCTCCCAATCATGCAGTGCCACAATCCTCCTCAGCTACCCCAGCCACACAGCCCCTCCCCCAGCAACCCCTGCCCCTCCTCAGCTAGGCCACCCTCCGCCACCCCTCCCACTCCACAGCCACCCCACGTCCCCCTAGCCACACTGCTCCTCACCCCAGGCCAGGCCTTCCATTTCTCCCACCCTGCTGCCCATGCATCCCCCACACCCGCTCCTCTCTTGGGATCACCCCCCTTCCCTCACCTCCTCGTACACGAGCCACTCGCCGCACTCCTCCCAGTACACCTGCCACTCCATGGGGAAGTAGGGGTTACGGCTGGGGTCACTGCTGTTGGAGAGGCGCCGGACACGGTCATAGAGCTGGCTGGGCTTCAGGTCCATGGAGTTCAGGTTGAGGGTCCAGGATGAGCCGGCCCTGGAAGGGGGGCAGCAGAGATGTCACCAAGGGGCAGGGACCACAGGCAACGCCCCCCTCATGCTGGCAGTGAGTAGCTGGGCGATGCACCTGCGAGCAGGTTTGCCTCCATCTCTCCCTTCATCCTCAGCCAATGCTCTCCTGGTGGGAGGGGTTGGGACTGGAGCAGCTGAGAGCTCCCCCCACAGCCAGTGCTCCCGCCCCCATAGCGCCCCCTGCTGGGCCATGTCCAATCAGCCACGTACTTGTCCATGAGCTGCACGTTGTCGCGGCTGGTACTGCAGTAGAGGTTCTCCAGGTGCTGTTGGGCCAATGTGCCAACACTCAGCCACACCCCGTCTGCCGTGCGCCGCATCTGCCAGTGGAAGGGGTTGGGGGTGTGGTGGCGCAGGCAGCGCTCCCCCTCCAGACACTGCCCCAGCAGGAAGTTGTCGCAGATCAGGATGCCGTCTTTCTGGTGGACGTGGACCTCCTCTGGGCCAGCCAACTCCAGGACCTGCCCGCCCAGGCCACGCCCCTCAGGCTCCAGCGTGAGCAACAGGGGGTACTGGGCCAATCCCAGATGTGGGCGCTTGGGCTTCTCTGCCATCTTGATCAGGCCCTAAGGGGGGGGGGGGAAGTCAGGGCAGAGATGGGACCTGATGAGAAGCCAGGCCAGGGCTGGGGACAGACTGGGCCTGGGATTCGGGATATTGGGGGGCCTCTGGGTGCCATTGGTTGGAGGGGCACTAGTGCTGGAAGGAAGAGCAAGGATCTTAAAAGGGATGCTGCCCCTGGGGTCAGGAAATCACCTGGGGGGGCGGTCAGTGTTGGCAATAGCCGGCCCCAGCTCTAGAGCAGCCCGGGGCTGATCATGGGAGGCCTCCCATAGGACCCCAGCATCAGGGGCAGGGGTGTCATCCCCAGTTTACAGATGGGGAAACTGAGGCTCTGGGCCAATGCAGGGACTTGCCCAGCAGGTCAGTGGCAGAGCTGGGAGAGGAACCCAGGTGTCCTGAGTGCCAGCCCACTGGACTGGCCTCAATACTTTGGCCTGCTGCAGTCCCACCAGTTTGCAATGGGAGCTGCCGCACCCCCTACCCCCACTGCTCCCCTTATTATATTGGAGAACTACCCCGAGTCTCCAATCAGCAGCCCCTCCCCCCAAGCTGAGTCCCCCAGAGACCTAGGGAGCCCCTGCACATCCCAACTGGGCCCACAGAAGGCTCCCAGATGTCAGGCTCCTAAGGGAGACAGAGCGCCCCATCCCTCCCAGCAGCCTCATGGCATTGGCCCTGGGGGTGGGATGTGGGCCTGGGTCCCCGAGGCAGATAGAACATCTCCTCCTCCCCCCTCAGGGTGCACTAATCCCCCAGCCTCACCTCTCACCTCCTCTGCTGGAGTGTTGTAGTTGCAGACTTACTTTTGCTTTTGCTTTTGGCTGAGTCACTCCCATCAACCCCTCAGCATGCCACCGGCATGCACGGAAAAGAGGGAGCTAGGGCTTCCCAGGCTGGGGTTTCCCTCTGCCTCCTACACTAGCTCCTGTTCTAAGGCTCTCCCTGTCGCTGGATTTCAGTGAGAGAAGTAGCCCAGGGCCTGGCCCAAAGCCCCACCACTAGGATTGTCAACTTTCTAATCACACAAAACTGAACACCACGCCTGCCCGGCCCCGCCCCTTCTCCGAGGCCCCGCCCCTGAGTGCTCCATCTCCCCCACCCTTACTCACTTTCACCAGGCTGGAGCAGGGGATTGGGGTGCTGCAGGGGGATGAGGGCTCCAGCTGGGGAGCAGGCTCTGGGGTGAGGCAGGGAATGAGGGGTTTGGGGTGCATGAGAGCGCTCCGGGCTGGGGCAGTGGGTTGGGGGGGCGGGGTATGGACTCTGGGCTGGGGGTATGGGCTCCAGCTGGGGCTAGAAATGAGGGGTTCAGGATGCAGGAGAGGGCTCCAGGATGGGGAAGGAGCACAGGGGGATTGAGGGCTTTGGCTGGGGGTATGGGCTCTGGGGTGGGGCCAGGGATGAAGGGTTTGGGGTGCAGGAAGGATCTCTGGGCTGGGGCTGAGGGTTTCAGAGTGTGGGAGGGGGTGTGGGCTAAGGCTGGGAGTGTGGGCTCTGGGGTGGGGTCAGGGCTGAGGGGTTTGGAGTGCGGGAGGGGGTGTAGGCTCTGGGGTGGGGTTGGGGATGAGGGGTTTGGGGTGCAGGAGGGAGCTCTGGGCTGGGGCTGAGGGGTTTGGAGTATTTGGGGGTGTGCAGGCTCCGGCTGCTCTGCTGACTGGACTTTTACGGCCCGGTCGGCAGTGCTGACAAGAGCCACCAGGGTCTCTTTTCACCCCGGTGTTCTGGTCAAAAACTGGATGCCTGGCAACCCTACCCACAGCAGATCAGGGGGCAGCACTGGGAGTGGAACCCTTACTGCATATGAACTGATGAACACCTAGTGAGTCAGTGGTAAAGTAGGTAAATGAACCCAAGAATCCTGATTCCCAGCCCCCCTTCCCCATTCTAACCCCTAGATCCCACACCCTACCCAGAGCCATCGATAGAACCCAGGAGTCCTGCTTCCCCCTCCCCCACTCTCAGCACTCCCTTAAAGGAGTAAACATTTTTACCACCAGGATTTGCATTGGGGTGGCTCCAGGCACCAGCGCAGCAAGCGCGTGCCTGGGGCGGCAAGCTGCTGGGGGCGACGTGCCGGTCGCCATGAGGGCGGCAGTCAGGCGGCCTTTGGCGGCATGCCTGCGGGAGGTCCACCGGTCCCGTGGCAATTCGGTGGCACTTCAGCGGCGGGTAGCCGAAGGCACGGGACCGGCAGTTCACCCACAAAAACGCCGCCCAATGGTGGGCAGGACGAGCTCTTGGCTACTGCAAACTATGGCAACCTCCTTTGGGGAACATTGTGTGGGAGTTTGTTCTTCCCAGGTGTTTAACTATGGTGTGGCTTGATCTCTCACCACCCCGCACCTGCTGTGATCAGAGCATGCGTAGGCAGGCATCCCTAGCCTGGCCTAAGACAGGTGCGAGTTGGGTTTCCAGGTGCAGGTGACAGATCTCCCAGCATGCAGGTGCATCTCAATTTCATACCTCGCCTCTGGATGAGGCCTGAGGTTTCTTCTTTGTGGATCATGCACAGAGCAGGCTGGGGATCCTCCACCGACGAGAGTCCTAGCCCTGGGTTTGTAGCTGTGGGCAGCGCGGTTCTCCTGATTGCACAGCTGGACCCGCTACCTTCCCTTGCCAGTTTGCAATTGAGAGCCCCTGTTAGAAATCAGCCAGGCCCTGCCCCAGCTCCCACTCCCAACTCAGCGGCTTCCTCTTTCAATGAACTGAGGGCCATCTGCCTTCCTATAGATCCGAGTGGTGAGAGCAGAAGTGTCTACTCTCTCCATCTGCAGGCGCCTTGTCAGCCAGTCTCTTTGTCCTTGGCAACTGTTACATGTGTCCATCCTGTGGTGGGGAGGGTTGCCTTGAAAGAGGAAGGGCAAAGTGGCTAGTGGGGCAAGGCCTGGGTGCTCATTTGCAGTAAGGCCGACCCCAGATTGGTCTAAAACCCATAAGATTTTCTTTAAAGGGGATATTCTGGTTTTGACCCCAGGGGGTTTGCTGACAAAGATCCAAGATGCTGCCATTCTTCTCAAGCTCTGAACACTCCATGTTATGGCAACACTACAGAGACTGGGCAATCATGACTGAGAGCAGATCTGAGGGGACTGCATTTCTGTGTGTGTGTTGAAGTATAGAAGTGCAGACGTTCTGTTGAAACCTTGCATTTACATACATGCAACTGCAACAAAGGGCTGAAGGTCTATGTGAGGACTAGCAGGCTTCCTACCTATTAGCTTTTGTATTAAAACTTTTCTAAGTACTGTAAACACCGTTTACAATGCATTTGTGTGTATTAGATGTTTGTTTACTATGAAATTATCTAAGATTCTCTCTTTGAACAGCTGCATTTGGAGTGACCAGGCCTACTGTGAGGACAGGCAGAGGCAAACCAACACAATGGAGATAGCCTTCATTTTTTAAACTTTAAGAAGGAAAACCCCCAAAACTGGCAAGAACGTAAATAATATGAAGCAACATCAAATACTTGCTTAGGAAAAAAACCCTAAAAATTACCATCATCACACTAAAAGAAATTTCTACAGAACAGTGTGGCCCTGAGAAGCTCCTCCTCCCCCGGCTGCAAAATCTAGTTTCCCCCCTCTCCACCTTGCGCTGCTCCTTTTATTCAACACTGCGATGCCCGCACCTCTTTCAAACAGGTTCACCCGTGATCATGATCGACATCTCCTGAGCGAGAGACTGAGCCACACTTGTTGACTCAGGCAGCCAAATCGTATTCCCTCTCTCAGTGTCCCAAGAGTCAGCTTCACCGGTCATGCGCTCTTTGCCCCTCGCACGGCTCTTCAAACTCCAGCTTCCTCTAGCACAGCTCTTTTTACCCAGGGCCACGTCTTTTTACTTCCTTTTCTATCCAGCTTCCAACTGCCTCCTCCCCAGCAGAGGCTGAGCCTCTCAACCTCGGAGCTGCCCTCTCATTGGAAAAAGAAGAACAGGAGTACTTGTGGCACCTTAGAGACTAACCAATTTATTAGAGCATAAGCTTTTGTGGACTACAGCCCACTTCTCTCATTGGGTGTCTCTCTCCCCAGGCAGCATTCGATGCTGCTGCATCACAGCTGCAGGCCCTAACACTCCCACTCTTGGGCCAAACTGCAGGAGGTCCTAGGGCTGGGGTTAGCATATAGTCAGGGTTTTACACACACTCACCCTCAGATTTAATGAAAGGTTTCAGAGTAGCAGCCGTGTTAGTCTGTATCCGCAAAAAGAAGAACA